AAGGAAAGTAAGAAAGCAAGCCACCAGGTCCGGGACTCAAACTGTGGTTGGCCGTGAAGGAATCTAGCACTCTTGACCCAATGCCAGCTGCAAGCCTCTGTGTTGTGTTTTTTTGTTTGCTTTTTGAGAGAGATTTTTGCTTGCTGGAGAGATAGAGAGACAGAAAGCGAGCAATCACCGCCCCCCCCCGCCCCCCAATAGTACAATCCCTTCTCCTCCATTCTCCTCTTGGAATTTTGGGCACACATGCACACACGCCCAGTGTGAGTTTGAAGCCGCCAGGCCCAGGACTTGTGTTGTGGCTACTCGGGAGTCCAGCACTTAAGCACCATGCCACCCGCTGGCCCCATGGTATATGTATTGTGAATACCTAGTTTTTTCTCTGTAGAGCATTGACTTTCACTTTCATAAACCAAAGTTTCTTTTGAACCAGGCCACCCACATTACTAGTTCCTTTTTTTTTTAAGAGACTTTTGATATAGGGTGCATGTGCTCACCAGAGAGAGACAGAAAGTGAAAAATCACCTCCTGGAGTGATGGCCAAGCTGCAGTCTCTTGTCCTTCATTCCTCTCTCGTGATCTTGGGCGCACATGCGCACAGCTTGAAGTTTTAAGCCATTGGGTCCAGGACTCAAACAGCTGTTGACTACGTGGGAGTTCAACGACATAACCATTACATCGTCAGCTGGTCCCAGATTTCTAGCCAGTTTTTGGGTCAGTAGTTTATAACCAAATAAACCCCTCCTTATCTTAGACAAGTCATTTGATCTTTTTGATCTTTAGTATTTTTATTTGTAAAATGGGGGTTCTGGCTCCAACCATTAAGACATTTTGTTAATATTAATGTATTGAATGAAAAAACATGAGTAGAAGTGTTTTGTTTGCTACTAATTTGTATGCATGCACTCTTTTATTTTTATTTTATTTATTTATTTTTTTTTGCTATAGGACACGTGCACTCGCCAGACAGACAGAGAGAGACATAGAGACAGAAAGCGAGAAATCACCCCCCAGGGAGGATGGTCATGCTGCAGTCCCTTCTCCTCCATTCTCCTCTTGGGATCTTGGGCATGCACGCACACGCGCCTGGCGTGAGTTTTAAGCCACCGGGTCCGGGATGGGAGTCCAGTGACATAGCCATTACACTAACTGCTGGTTCCCTTATTTATTTATTAATTTTTTTGGGGGGGAGAGGTTTTTTTGTTTGTTTGTTTGTTTGTTTTGCTATAGGGCATGTGCGCTCGACAGACAGACAGAGACAGAGAGACAGAAAGCAAGAAATCACCCCCGGGGGGATGGCCACACTGCAGTCCCTTCTCCTCCATTCTCCTCTCGGGCTCTTGGGTATGCACAACCGTAAGCCACCGGCTCCAGGACGCGAACTGCAGTCGACTACGTGGTAGTCCAGTGACATAGCCATTACGCTAACTGTTGGTCCCATGCATGCACTCTTTAAGTCTTTTACTTCAAGTCTTCGTCTCTGTCTGCCTTCTGGATATCATGACTAAATGTTCAAAATCCACTTTCCCTCTAAGTCTAACTACCTCCAGATTTCTCCCTAACCCATACATTCAAGCCAAAAACCTGCAACGCTCTTTGATTCTTCTCCATTTAGCATGTAGTAATTGAGCCCCTTTGATTGTCCTGTAGATTCATGACAGTTTCAGGATTTCAGTCAATTCTGATCCCTTCATTTCTGTTTCAGCTTTAGGCTGCTGGCCAGCTCCCATTACATCAAACCAGAATGTCTGTTGCTGTTTCCTTCAGGTCTGTCTGATTTTGGTTTTTGTCTGTTTAAGTCACACTACACCAAATTAATATTAACAAACAGTACCAATCACATTATTTCTCTACCCAGAAATCTTTGACTGACTTCTGTATAGTTTCTGTCTACCTGATGGTGATGATCTTTCTACCTTCTTCACAGCAAAGCGAGTTCCATGTGGTCAGATTGTGGCTGGCTGGGCCACCATTATATCCCTGAACAGTGTAGGGCACGTAGTAGCTACTTATAAATGTTTGCTGGGAGGCTGGCAGGCGGTGTGGTGGCTAAGGGCACTTAACTCCTATGTGGCTGACCGTGGTTCAAATCCCAGACCTGGTGGCTTGTTTTCTCACTTCCTCTCTCTCTCTCTCTTTTTCTTGCTCTGTCCCTCTCTGGTCAAGTTAAAATAAATAAATAAATAAAGTTAAATAAAATAATTAAAACAAAACAAAAAAAAAAGTTTGCTGAATGAATGAGCAGATGGATGGAGGTCCCAGTTCATTTCTTGCCCATTTCTAGCATATTGTGCTCCTTTACTCTTGCCAGTTGGTTGGTATTCTTTCTGTCCCAATACCATCCTGTTTCCTCAGGGTATTTTTTTCTCTGAAATGCCTTAGCCCATCTCAGACACCCAAAGCAAATGAAAATTCTACTTTTCATGTTCCCCTGGATCTTACTACCTCATGAAATTTTCTTTGCATTCTGACTGCCCTGAACTTATTTGCACCATTAATATTAGCATTTCTGGGTCCAGCAGGTGACATGGTGGTTAAGGTGCTGGAACCCACATGGACAACTCCATGGTTTCAGTCTCAGACTCAGCATCTTGAAAAACACACAGATCCCAAAAGGGGAATGGAAGGAAAGGGATTATGGGGTGGCCATCTTCCCTGGGGGTTGTTTTCTCATTTTCCCTCTCACTGTCACTTTCCAGCAAGTAAGTGCATGTGCCCTGTGGCAAAAACTAGAAAAAAAAATTAGCATTTGTGTTTTATGTCATTTAGTTAAGTCAGTGTGTATAAAGGACCTTTTTTTTATTATTATTATTTTTTTTGGAGAGGTTTTTTGCTATAGGGCGCTTGCACTCCAGAAAAACAGAATCAGAAAGACAGCGAGAAATCACTCTCTGGGGGTATGGCCACACTGCAATCCCTACTCCTCCCTTCTCCTCTTGGGATCTTGGGCACGCACGCACATGAGCCCAGCGTGTGTTTAAGCCACCGGGTCTGGGTCTCGAACCATGGTTGACTACGTAGGAGTCCAGCGACATATCCATTACACCCACTGCTGGTCCCAGGACTTTTTTTATATGGGGAAAAACCTACATCTAGCTTGTATTTTCCTTTAGAGCAGGGCTCCTGTAGTAGTCTTGTTCTTCAGGTAGTACCTAGAGCCAGGCTGACGTTCAGTGAACTTAACTGATTAAAGCGACTCAGTATTTTGCTAACACCATACTCATTTTGTCTAAGAGCATTTTACTTTATGGAAAACATATATTCTCGAGGAATGAATTGCAGTGTTAGCAACCAAACCATTCTTGAAGAGCTTGTTATTAGAAAGAATTAATTTATTAACCAGCTTGATAAATCTAAATTTTCACTTAGGAAAATTATTTGAAGTCAGGTGCAAGAGGAAGAGAGCAAATTGAAACACATGCCTTGATACTTGGGCTCCAGAGTGAATCAGAGCCTGTGGAGACTCAGTCCGAGCTTGTGAATATCGTGCCAGAAGATGAAACAGCCGTTTTTCCCTTGCTGGGCCTGTCCTTTTTCATCTGACAGATATTGATTATCTTCTTCTTATGTTTCTTTATTGCAGTGGGAAAAGGTTGCTTGTTTTTATCATTTTTGCACCAGCATAAAATGATGTTTTTAAAAGAAAATAAGCTTCAGATGGATCAGATATATTTTTGTACAGTTTGTTTTTGTCAGTTAAGTAGAGCTAAATTTTTACAATAGGTATAGATTGGTCTCACTAAATCCTGTTCTACTTGAAATGTTCCTTACAAAAGATCAGGCAGGATGAGTTAGTACAGTCTGTAGCACATTTGATATAGAATGATTCCAAATACATGGCTGGGGTGCTTTACTTTTTGAGGATGAATCCCTTGTACAGGACCTTATTTCCACACGTTCCAAAGATGTTCCTCATGTAAATGAAAGGAGACGGCTGTGTTGAGGTAGGAGGTGGCATCGGACAATGGTGTGGCTTAGGGGCCAGTGGGTGGAGGCTAAGGGGGCTGGATCCCATATGGCCCACAGCATGGTTCGAGTCCCAAACCCAGTGGCTTGAAAACCACACCGTGTGTATGTGTGTGTGCACACGCATGTGCACACTCGTGCATGTGCATGCATGTGTCCAAAATCCTTAGAGGAAAATGGAGGAGGGACTGTGGTATGGCCATCCCCCTTGGGGAATGAGTTCTCACTTTCCCACTCTCTTTGTCTGTCTCTGGAGCAAACCTTTAAAAAAAAAAAAAAGGGGGGGACCAGCAGTTAGAGTAATGGCTGTGCCGCTGGACTCCCATGTAGTCGACCGCAGTTTGAGTCCCGGACCCGGTGGCTTAAACTCACACCGGGCACGTGTGCGTGCGTGCCCAAGATCCCGAGAGGAGAATGGAGGAGAAGGGATTGCGGCGTGGCCATCCCCCCAGGGGAGGGGTGATTTCTCGCTTTCTGTCTCTCTGTCTCTCTGGCGAGCGCACGTGCCCTATAGCAAAAACCTCTCTTAAAAAAAAAAAAAGAGGGAGCATGGTAGGGCTTTATATGAGAGGGGTTGTATTATGTAAGACTTCAAGCTGTATAGTTGGAACTTTTACAAAAATGAAGTAGGAAATTTTTACCAAGTTCTGTTAAATGGTTGCTTTTTTAGTGCCTGATGAGTGAGTGGCTTAGTTTCTTAGTAGCTACGAAATGACCCCAAGTAGTATCTGACACCCTTTCTTTCCATGGAACAGCTCTTACTCAGCACAAAGCACCCATGCTGTCTGGTGTTAATTAGTTCCCAAATCTGCTTTTTCCTTTAAAGTGTATGAGCACCAAGTATCATAAAAAATTATACGTTTTTATTAGCTGATTCAGTTTATTTCAATCAGATTATTGTGGAACATATGGACAGTAATGAATCTTCAGTTGTGGCAATTAGGCAAACTTCCCCAAATCGAATAGAATTTGCTTGGTATAGATTAAGTTGCTGAAATTCAGTAATAAATAGGATTATAGCCTAGAAGTTTGAGTTTGAAATTATAGGCTTCAACAAAAAACCCGATGGCTACTATTCCTAGAGTGAATGTGGGCATGAGATATTATTGTTATTTGTATACTATATTAATCTTCAAAGTAATGAATTAATACCACCATTATGGTAATTATAGGTGCCCAAAATCCCAAGAAGAGAATGGAGGAAAAGAGATTACAGCAAGGCCGTCCCCCCAGGGGTAATTCTCATTTTCTCTCTCTCTCTCTGTCTCTCTATGGTGAATGCACCTGCCCTATTGCAAACTAAGGGGAAAAAACATAGTGAAAGAATGGAATGGAATTAGTCTCTGGATTTTTTTTTTTTTTTAAGAGCAGTTTCTGCTAAAGGGCACATGTGCTCAGCAGAGAGACGAAGAAACAGAAGGCAAGTTATCACCTCCCGGGGGATGGCCATACCACAATCCCCTCCCTTCCATTCTTTTCTCAGTATTTTGGGCATGCATGCACATGGGCCCGGCATGAGTTTTAAGCTGCTGGGTCTGGGACTCGAACTGTGGTTTGACTACGTGGGAATCCAGCAATGTAACTATTATGCCACCTGCTGGTCCCAGTCTCTGGAAATTCTTGTTTTTTTTTTTTTTTTTTTTTTTTTCTGCTATAAGGGTGCGTGCGCTCGCCAGACAGACAGAGACATAGAGACAGAAAGCGAGAAATCACCCCCCGGGGGGGATGGTCACGCCGCAATCCCTTCTCCTCCATTCTCCTCTCGGGATCTTGGGCACGCACGCACACGCGCCCAGCGTGAGATTTAAGCCACCGGGTCCGAGACACGAACCGCGGTCGACTACGTGGGAGTCCAGCGACATAGCCATTACGCTAACTGCTGGTTCCCGTGGAAATTCTTGTTTTCAATCTGTCAGTTTAGAAATTTTTAGAAAACTTAGGACTTGAGTATACATTCTTTTAAACATAAGAACAATGATACCATACATAATGTAACCTCAAGAAAACAACACTGAGTACTCATGAGAGAATGAGAGTGAAAAGGGCATATAATAATAGCATAGTTATTATTATGAAACTAATTTTGACTTTGCAGCCTACCCCCCCTCCCCAGAAAGGGTATCAGAGATCCCAGAGAAGCCCACCAGATGACAAGGCCTATTGGCACATATAGAGCTTCCATATAGCTTCATTTTTTACATTTCTATGTATCTGTCACTATTCTCCAACTCTTCAACAGACTTCGAATATTCCTTTCAATACGAATATATCAAATAATCCATCAATTACGTTTTTTTTTTCCCCTCTGAAGAGGCATTCCTCTCAGAGCTCTCTACACTATCGACTGTTAGGCCTGCTACATTAACTTCATTTTAGGATTCCTGTCGCCATCTTCCTGAGAATCTCTTCCAGGATCAGTCCTCATTTTACTGTATCCTATCCTTTTTTCTTTTTGATTTTTATTGCTTATTTTGTTAGAACTCAACTTCCAATAGTTTCCCTTACGAAGGTTGGTTGGGAAGGAAGTTTTTAGCCTTAGCTTATTGCTCAACATTTTTAATTTTGCTCTTTTACATGCTTGCTGGTTTAGTATAGAATTCTAGGTTCCAATTTTTCCATATTTTACCAACACTATTTTCTATTGGGTACGGTAGCCATCGTATTGGGTATTAGGTGGTATTATGGTAGTTGGGTTTTTTGTATGTTTGTGGATGTTTTGTGTCTCTGTGTGTGTGTGTGTGTGTGTGTGTGTGTGTGTGTTTTCCAGAGGACCTGCACACTTGCCTAAGAAACTTGAGAGA